ATAAACTCTATTTGCGCACATGTAGAGCGAGCGATGTTCCTTCACAGATGGAAAATCACAACTACCCCCTACCTACTTGGTTTGTAGTCAAAGGTTCTCAAAGCAGAGCGAGACATCCAGGTAAGCTGAGCTTTAGGTGTCCTTCCTCTGAGAGCTTAAGTGCGGAGCGCTATAATCATCCAATTTTCCAGAGTTCTTCACAAATCATTTGTTACAAATCCTCTTACACTTGTAAAATGTTGTCGTCTACTTCAAGCACTTCAAGTCAACCAATCAACTGTTCTGAAGAGGCTAGAAATTATTTTTCCCCGAATATTTGTTTCCTTCGAGATTTCCTAATGAGTACCAATGACAACACAGGGAGAAACACATGCTTAACAACTTTAAAAGAATTAGTCTTCCCCTTGCAGCACCATAAATTATTATTCATCTCTGTTAGTTACTGAGCTAGAGTTGAGTGGGGGATCAAACACGGTTCTCCCAGATTAGACACCACTAGACCAAACTGGCTCTTAAAACATATAACTCTGCAGTCCAAACTGAAACCTGTCAGCAGGGGGTGAATCAGTGATCTACTCATGCAAGAATCTGGCTCCCTGGCCACCGGCCCCAGGGGCCATGTGGCCAGGGTGCCACCTTTGCCTCCATGCAAGGAGGAGAGGCCGGCTGTTGGTGGCGAATGGACACATCTGGGGATCTTGAGGAGGCTGGGCTGGAAGTTTCTTGGGCTGGCCCCTGCCTCCTCTTCTCAGTCTTTGCCCTTCCTTGCCGCCCACCCTCCTGCCCAGTTGGCAGTGCAGGCTTGTTGCTGGTCACCTCGTTGGGGGCCATGTAGGAATTTTTCACCCTTTCCGAAATTGGCTATGTGGCGGGGGTGTTTTCACCTACCTTGTACGTTTACTGAGGATCGGGGAATTGGCTAGGGTGTGGCAGTGTTAAATAGGTTGGTCACTTTAAGGTTGACAGGGTTTTTATTTGAAGCAGATTGTGGCTTGGTGAGCACCGGCTGACAACCCCCTTTGTTGTGGCTTGGTGAGTACAGTCCTTGGGCCCTGCAGCCTGGGGCAGGGAAAGCAGACTGCCTATGGGATCACCCTGGATCATCCTCCCTTTGTGCCCCGCCGCTTGGGGGACGGAGTTACAGGGCGATTGCCGAATTGCCATGCTGACTGGACGGGAGCTACAGCATAAGGGGCTCTCATCCGGGGCAGAGGGCTCGTCCTATTCCACTTAGCGAAGGGAAGGGCCGTGACGGCCCTTGGCCTTGGCTATGCCACAATCCTTTTAGCCCTTGCCATTTTTTCTTGATTTGTTGTATTAATTAATAAAGTGACCCTTTAGATACCCCAACATTGTTGTCTGCCTCTTCATTCTGGCTTTGGGGGGGGGGGCAAGGATCTTCCCCATTTTTTTTCTCCCCATTGTGGGAAAGTTGATTCCTGGGATTTCAGGACCAGCATTGGCAGTGGGCTACACTGAAGAGGAAAGAGGGGGGAATCCATTCCTCCTGTCTTTTCTGTCAACCCACCAACCCACATGGTTCCTCAACCACAGGGACAAACTTTTCCATGGCTGTTGACAGGGAGGGAAAAGCAGGCAAGATCTGTAGCTGTCAGCACCTTCTGCTGATGGATTGCTGGATCCAGCCCGGGAAGCAGAGTCGTAATGTACCTGGGCTACCTTTAGAAAGTAATTTTTCCCGATTCTCAGGCAGTATAATAAAAATATCACACTATTTGGCTGTAACTCCTCTTCTTGAGTGGCACCCATAAGCCTTTAAAGCCTGGATTTATTTGGTGCTAAAATATTGACTTTTCTTTTTGCTGTGGCAAACAACAAAGAATCTTTTCCTTCGTGTTTCTTTTTAAAACGACCGATGAAATGGAATTTCTGATGTTATTTTAAATATTGGACAAGTCTGCATTCGTCTAAAGTCTTTCCGTTACCTGAAGGTGGAAAGCACTACTAATGACAGTTCGGTAAGGCTCTCTTTCCTCTCTAAAAGTCATTAACAAAGCACCAGCAACCCATATAGAAAAGGGCAGGGCTATTTTTGTAGAAAAAGCCCAGCAGGAACTCATTAGCATAGTAGGCCACACCCAACAGCAGGAACTCATTAGCATATTGGACCACACCCCTGACAGCACAGCTCATTAGCACATTAGGCCGCACCCACATGTTACCAGAAGTGTGGTTATCCAGCCACACCCACCTTTTGCCTGTTATTCTGTTTACCTTTTTTTTTGTAGCAGGAACTCCTTTGCATGTTAGGCCACACACCCCTAATGTAGCCAATCCTAATGAGTTTCTGCTGTTGGGTGTGGCCTATTATGCTAATGCGTTCCTGCTGGGCTTGGCCAACTTGGGAGCCAGCCGGAACTCCGTTCCTGTGCGTTCCTGCCCAAAAATAGCCCTGGAAAAGGGGAGAAAAGCATAGAACGGGAAAATTCATCTGATCATATGAAACTACAAAGTCAAAATGGCACAAGCTGTCCTCTTATCCAGAATTCCCTCCAGTTAATGAAAGCTGCAAGCCAAGCAGATGGTCTCGTTTTCCTCATTATGTAGTATTTGGTAATATAAAGATGCTGTGAAGGGTTGTTTTTTTTTAAAGGTCCTGTTCAGTAGTGATGTTTCCCTTTGCCAGGGATATTTCTAAAGCTGTTCCATGAAATTCTGTGTAAAAAGAAATGTGGCTGTCTACAATGTTTTGAAATAGGGTTACTAATCCATATTCTGAGAATCCGCAGCTCTGTTTTATAAATCTCACCTTTCCCTTCACTTAACTTTACACGAGCACATACACTCAGGTTCCTTTTCCCGTCTTTATAATCTGCCACAATATGCTGGGCAAATGATCATTCTTTTAGATTTCTCCATTGCTAGGAGATGCTGTTTCTTTACATTATGATAATGGGACAACTGATGAGTTTTGACTTGGGTGGCAAGTGGCAATTTCAAAGTTAAGTTTAGAGAACAAACATGATATGCTGCTCACAGAGAGCCACTCCCTGTATTCTGGTTTACACACATATATGTGACCCCAGAGTATTTCCGGGGACAGAATCTCATGTATGCCATTCGAAGTGATCCCTGAAATACCTATACTATGTACTTGGGATAAGGGAACTCAATCCCAGCCTTTTCTTGATGTGCCCAGGGATATGTATCCGCCTATAATGTATGGAAGAGCTGCGGTGGCTCAAGTGGTTAAGACGCTGAACTGCAGGCTGTGGAAGGTCAGTAGTTCAGCGGTTCAAGACCCGGGTGCCGCAAGACAGGGTGAGCTCCTGTCTCTAGTTCCAGCTCCTGCCAACCTAGCAGTTCGAAAGCAAGAAATTGCAAGTAGATAAATAGGTACCACTTCAGTGGGAAGGTAACAGCGTTCCGTGCGCCTCGATGTTTAGTCATGCCGGCCACATGACCACGGAAACGTCTGCGGACAGCGCTGGCTCTTCGGCTTTGAAACGGAGATGAGCACCGCAACCCTAGAGTCGGATTAGACTGGCTTTCGAGCAAGGGAACCTTTACCTTTACCTAATGTATGGAACCACTGCTTTAGACATTCTTCTACACACCACCAGTCACATGTATCACTTTATTGCACACAATTATCTCTGAATCAAGACCAAAATTAATGAATTATCCTTTCAGAGCAGAATTACGACTCATGCAGTATGTTTATGCTTAAAATGCAGGGTCATGAGATACGCAGATATTGTAATTTAAAATATTTTCATCTATTAATTTTAAAAAAGTAAAATAATACTATTTTTTAAAAAACCCAGGGAAATCCCCTTTATACACAGCCTCCAGAGCAGAAACAAATGGCCTCCATTGCTGGCACTTTCACACTGCAATAAATATGCAACTACTTTCTATGAAAAATGCTTAGATCATTGTAAGTTTAATATGTTAGACATCTGAATTTATACTAAAAAAGGACAAGGAAATGTTGTGGTTAGAAAATGTCGTAATAGTTTCTCCTTTTTAAACAAGTGGCCCAAAGAGTTGGTAATGGACTGAGGCCTTTAGTCAAAGGATTAAATCAACATACAAAGCTGCCAGACGCTAAGGCAGACCTTGGTCTGTCTGACCAGCAGCAGCTCCCCATGATCACAGGCAGGGGGCGCTTGTCTCAACTTTGCTATCTCAGATTCTCTTACTAAAGAGCTGAAAACGAGAGATCTTCTGCACGCACAGTGGGTTCTCTACCACTGACCGACAAAAACTTTCTAAATTTAATTGCTGCGGTGATTCAGCGTATAATTCCTAGCATCTGTATGGTCATTTGGAAGGAATGGGGTTTTTTGCTTTTAAAAATAGTAGTGAAATTAAAGTGAAATTTAAACTAAAACAACAATAAAATGACAACTTGAAATACTAGTGACTTGTGCAACATTAACTTGTGCTTCCCTCTTCTCTCCCACCCATTCCCCATCACAACTACAAATTCACCAGCCCTTCCCCTCCCCGACACATAAAGAATATCACAAGTCAAGTTCACTCGGCATTGAGATGAAATGCTACCTTTGTCAGGTTTTTTTTTAAAGTGCATCGTTCTCATGGTTTTGTTTCTAAAGTGGGTGATGTGAAGCTCTCAGAGCATTTCATGCCATCTTGAGGTCTGCTTACAGCCTCTGAATACTTCTCGAATCTAAAACCAGATTTGTGTTGGCGGTAGCTTTCATGGATTTAGAAAAAAGACACACCACTCCCAGTGGTGTTTTCGCTTAAGCCACGGTACAGTACGTCATGGCACATCTTCATAACAGAACGGAGGACAGGAGATAGGACTTCTGTCTACAGATCGCTGATGCCACTTGCAGAAAAATAGAGAATAGAAAGAAAGAAAAAAATATTTTCCAAAAGTTCTGAATTTCAAAATATTTTCTCCCCAGCAAGAGGGTTGGGTCCTTCAGAAAGCAATTTTACCTGCTCCATTAAAGTATGGAACCGATGATGACACCAGATTAAATCTGGAACTTCTGTTTATCGTCTTCTTCTGGTGGTACATGGTTTTGGCTGAGTGAGACTCAGATAATAACCTGTTCACTCACAAGCCAACTTGCTGTCAAAACTGGACAGAGCAATGGCAAAGGCTTGAAGTGCACACATGGGGTAGTTGTAGTCCATGGTGAAAATATCTTCGGCGACACGGCCAAATTGCATCACTATGTAGTCAGCTGAAATAAAAACAAGGAAACACAGGAAAGCATCAATATAGCTTCTGAACCATGCACATTTCGTGTGTCACAGTATAAATAAATTGGAAGGGGGGGACTTTTCTTTTGAGCGCATGAAGCATGTTGAGTCATATCATTCATCGGCCTCTCATGGTTATTACTGCCTACTCTTAACTGGAAGAAGCTCTTCTAGGCCTTAGGTAGAGGTATTTCACATCACCTGCTGCACGATCATTTAACTTGAGATGCTGGTAACGGGATCTGACACCTTCAGCGTGGAAAGCACAAGTTCTCCCACTGAGTCACAGACCCTCTGAAGTCTGAATAATAGGAATTTAGGCTGGGAGATAGTTTTCTTCCAAGAGCTGAAAGTTGCATGAGTGGGATAGTACTCAGCTGTTAGACCAGGGGTGTCAAACATGTGGCCCGCAGGTCAGAACAGGCGTGCCTAAGGCTTTAATCTGGCCCACAAGCAAGTGGCCACCTTATGTCTTGGCTCTACTGAGTGCACCTGGCTCCGCCTCCCCCTTGCTTCCTCCCTGCTCCGCCTTGCTACAGTGTGTTTCTATGCTGTTGTCTTTTTGCTGGGCTCCTTCTGCCTTGACTCTTCCTGCTTCTGCCTTGGCTCTTCCTGGTGCAACTGGGTCTGCCTCCCCCTCGCTTCCTCCTTGCTTCGCCTTGCTACAGTGGGTATGTGTGTTTCTTTCTTTCTCTTTTTTTGCTGGGCTCCTTCTGCTTTGGCACTGCTGGGTGTGACTGGCTCCACCTTCCCCTCGCCTCCTCCATGCCTCACCTTGCTACAGTGGGTGTTTCTCTCTCTAAATTTTTTTTTTACTGGGTTTGTTCCTGTTCATCTGGGAGAGAGGGGTTGTGGCTCAGTTGAAGAACCTCTGCTTGGCATGCGGAGAGTCCCGTTTTCTATCCCTGGCACCTCCAGTTAAAAGGACCAGGCTGTGGGCTGTGAGAAAGACTTTAACCAGGGACCCTGGAGAACCACTGCCACTCTAAGTAAACCAGGGGGGAGGGGGGGAGAAGCTCACAGTGCTCAGCCTTGTCATGTTTTCTCATCAGAGCACTGGCCATGAGAGCAGGCTGGGGAAAGGGTTTGCTCCCCCACTTCAGGAAGCACAGGGGCTGCACTGCTGGCTCTCCAGTCTGCCTGTACGGGTTTTCCTCTGCGCCTGGGGCCTTGCGGTGAGGACACACCAACATGATGCTTACCAGCAGCACACCAACTTGATATTTACCCAGAAACTGGTAAAATACCTTTAATTGGGTTTGTCTGTGTCCTTTTATAAAGTTGGTATCTCTGCTACCTGGCATTACATTTTTATGGCACACACGGCCTGGCCCCCCAAAAAAGTACCACTGATGTCAGATCCAGCCCTCATAACAAATGAGTTCGACACCCCTGTGTTAACCAGGGCTCTTTTTGTAGGAAAAGCCCAGCAGGAACTCATTAGCATAATAGGCCACACCCAACAGCAGAAACTCATTAGCATATTAGTCCACACCCCTGACAGCACAGCTCATTACCACATTAGGCCGCACCCCCCATGTTACCAGAAGTGTGGTCATCCAGCCACACCCACCTTTTGCTTGTTATTCTGTTTACCTTGTTTGTTGTCAAAACCCAGGGCCTTTTTTTGTAGCAGGAACTCCTTTGCATGTTAGGCCACACACCCCTAATGTAGCCAATCCTAATGAGTTCCTGCTGTTGGGTGTGGCCTATTATGCTAATGAGTTCCTGCTGGGCGTGGCCAACTCAGGAGCCAGCCAGAACTCC